GCTGTAGGTGTAAGAGACGCTGCAGGTGTAAAACGCTGCAGGTGTAAGAGATGCTGTAGGTGTAAGAGACGCTGCAGGTGTAAAACGCTGCAGGTATAAGACGCTGCAGGTGTAAGACGCTGCAGGTGTAAGACGCTGCAGGTGTAAGACGCTGCAGAGACGCTGCAGGTGTAAGAGACGCTGCAGGTGTAAGAGACGCTGAGGTATAAGAGATGCTGCAGGCGTAAGACGCTGCAGGCGTAAGACGCTGCAGGTGTAAGAGACGCTGCAGGTGTAAGACGCTGCAGAGACGCTGCAGGTGTAAGAGACGCTGTAGGTGTAAGACGCTGCAGAGACGCTGCAGGTGTAAGAGACGCTGCAGGTGTAAGAGAAGCTGCAGGTGTAAGACGCTGCAGAGACGCTGCAGGTGTAAGACGCTGCAGGTGTAAGAGACGCTGCAGGTGTAAGAGAAGCTGCAGGTGTAAGACGCTGCAGAGACGCTGCAGGTGTAAGAGATGCTGCAGAGACGCTGCAGGTGTAAGAGACGCTGCAGGTGTAAGAGAAGCTGCAGGTGTAAGACGCTGCAGAGACGCTGCAGGTGTAAGACGCTGCAGGTGTAAGAGAAGCTGCAGGTGTAAGACGCTGCAGGTGTAAGAGACGCTGCAGAGACGCTGCAGGTGTAAGAGAAGCTGTGTGTTCAGGTGCATTAAAGTTGAAATGTGTTTAAACCCCCACACCTTATTGTCCTCAAGCTTCGTGAGAAACATCATTTAGATGAGTAGTGTTGAACACAAGTAAAAAAGTCCAGTGGGGATGATTTTTATTTCACAATAAACACAAATAGTGCCGACCTGACGCTCTGTGTTAAAGTGTATTAAAGTTAAAATGTCTTTAAAACCCACAGCTGAATTTACACAAACTTGGTGAGAAACATGTTTTAAATGTGTGAAATTAAAGGAAATCTAGGTGAAATGTTGCTTTCTTTTGTTCACTAGTGAACACCTTTTTTTTTACGTGCGCACACGCCTACACACATCATTGTGTCCCCCCCACATCACGGATGCTGCTGACGCCCTTGGATTAAACAACAGATTTATTACTGAGGGAACATCTGTAATGATGCACAGCAACTTCATAATTGGTTTTAAAAATAGCTCACCACAAAGAGGATCAATAAATTGAGTAAATTTAACATATTTTGCTAACAAATGATGTTGGGCTCTCCACTTCGATGCAGCTGAGTTATGCTCCACTCCTCTTTCAGTTCTGTGAGGCAGCTTCATGTCCGGCTCCATTCATTAGTGGTTTTTGAACATTTAGCAAGGACTGAAGAAGTCCTTGGCACCAGCAAACTGTTTTTTTCCCACTGTGGAGTGAGCTGTTTGAGGGAATCAGTTTGTTTGGTGGCTCCTCAGACAGAAGAAGTCCTTTGGATGAAGGACGAAATGTCTCAGCAAAAAAGAAGAAGAAAGAAACCGTCCAGCTGACCCAACTGAACATTGTTGGATGTTATACCTGGATTACTGAGCATGAACTTTGGTGTTTTGAACCACTTTGGCACTGCTGCCTCAGAGGAGTTGATGGGGGACAGGGAGGCCAGGGACCATCTTGGCTTTTTTTCCCACATTGAGTATTCTGTTTGTGGGAATCAGTTTGTTTGGGGCTCCTCAGACAGAAGAAGTCTTTTGGATGAAGGACGAAATGTCTCAGCGAAAAAAGAAACGGTCCAGATGACCGGAACATTGTTGGATAGTGTTAGACCTCACTCTGGCCCTCACGCCACACGTTGGGAAACCCTCGTCTGGACCCACATCACAGCTTCAGAGGTTCTGGACCCGGCTGGTCTGCGGCACTCAGAGCACTGATGAGCATCAGGCTGCCAGTCCAGTCGCTGTGTGTGTTGGTATTTATGCCAGGCTGCAGCTCGCGGACTGAAATCCCCTCCACGCAGCAGATTATCGGACCGAACCATTGCTGCAGTTCGGGTTTTAGCACCTGTCACGTGACGCTTCACATTTTTAACACAGCACGCGCTTACCGCCACAGCAAACTGAAGTCCGCTCGCCGTTATGGGTCCGCGGACGTAGCTCGACCCCTGGCGTCCAGCAGGCGCTGCCTCCGCGCGGCTCTCATTGGACCGACCAGCCGAACAGCACCGACCCCCCCCCATACAACTGGCAGCATCACCCACCGACTGCAATGGCGTTGGAGCGGCTCTGCTGTGTCTGAGCGCTCCCGAAGCGGCGATTCCGTCCGGGACTATTTTACAAGCAGGGATGGTGTTCAACGCCATTTTTTGCCTCAACTTTACGTTTTATTGATCCCGTCACGCGCTGGAGCGAAATGAATGTAAGTCTTTTGTTTTTCACGCAGTGGAGCCACCTCGTTGAGGTTATTTTTTTTTATGTTTTTTGGTTAACATTTAACTTTGTTTCTATGGAAACATTAATTAAGGTCATTCGTATGTGTTCTGGCTAAAGAGAAAAGGTGGGAAAACATGCAAATAAATAAATGTTCGGTTTCAGGAGGAACCTGATCTGTCATTGTTGTTGTTGACTCATTGAGCTGTTTTGTTTTTCTTACTTTTATTGTCCTAGTTTCCTCATCCAGTAGCTCAGTGTTTTACTACAGCCCACGTTATTTAATGTGGGTGCAGGAAATGTCCACTATGGTGGATTATGGTTGGTCTCACATCTCAGGTTGTAGGTGAAAGAGCAGTTCAGGGTAATGGATCCTTTATGCCCCAGATGATGTTGTTTTCCTTTTTGTGATGTGTCATCTCTCCCTGCCTCTCTGGGGTGTGCATTTCTAAACCAGATTAAATATTAATGGGTGCAAATATGGAATATTTCACCGTGGCGTTCAGCCTGCACAGCTGCTGTAATCCAGTGTGGCAGTAATTTAAACCAGGTTTAACAAACCATCATCTCCACCTGCCATCCATCAGCAAAACTGATTGTTTTCCCTGTAGTGACAAACAAAAGCTGATATTTACAGGAAAACACACTGATGGTTTAAGTTAGGGTAAATGACCAAAACAAGACTTTTTTTCTTCCATTTTATACACAAATAGTCATTTTTCCTGTCCGGTCTCCTGTGAGTGTTGATGTGTTTATGTTAAGCATCATGGAGTGGATTAGCTGTATGTGCAATGGCCTCGGTTATTCATTTGGCCACTGAGGAGTGTTGGTAATGAAGTGAATGATTTCTAGCCAAGCTTTCCAACCATCAGTGTACAAGGTGTCCCTTTGCTAATTAACTTTTTTTTTTTTTAAAGTGCCACTTTCCATCCCTGTTTTAAAACTGCATAATGTAATATTTCAAAGTTTGTCAATCATAAGAGAGTTAGTTGCCCCAAATATTTGTACGCAGACATTTTAAATATCAAAGTTGCTCCTGTTGTTTTATTGATGTTAATATATGCTAAAGAAAACAGTGATTCTAATAAGGCTGTGCTCATTTCATGAATGGTCATTAAGACCAGATCAGTGTATGAATACAGACTTCTTACACCTCGTTTCATCTCTGCAGGTGTGACTGGAGGATTGGAGCCGAACCAGACTTCTTAGTCCAACGTTCTATTGAGGTCACAGCGATGCTGACATTCCCTCGCGATCCAAAGACATCATCATGCTGAAGACGGAGGCCTCTGGGGAGAGGACTAGCCTCCGGAGTGCCTCCCCCCACCGTAATGCCTACCGGGCTGAATTTCAGGCGCTCAAGAGGGCTTTCGACCAGCCTCGGACTGATGGAGACTCAAAGTCCAAAGACCTCGAGCGGGGGAAACAGCCGAGGGGACGCCAGTATGGAGCCCACGTCAGTCGCATTAAGGACATGTTCATGCAGATGGGCTCAGAAAATGTGTCAGCTAAGTCTAGGGGTCACGACGAGTCCTCTCCTCAGAAGCTGGTGAAGCCCACCAACTTCATCAACAAGGCCGATGGATCAGTCATAAAGCTCCAACATTCTCCATCAGCTGAGAGGATTGGAGGCGCCGGGGCAAAGTTCTCAGAGACCAGGAAACTATTTGAGCAGCAGTCACGTGACCAGTCTCAGTCACCCGTCTTTCCCTATGGACGTGACAAACGGGGTTCTCATGAGCACCTCGACGACTGGCGAGGGGCGAAGTCCAACAGAGGCAGCACAGACTCTTTGGACTCCTTGTGCTCCAGAACAGAGGCATCTTCACCAACTGTCAGTCAGCTCAGTGCTGTTTTTGAAAATGCTGATCACCACAACCAGGGCGCTTTCTATAAAGGAGTGAGCAGACGAGCCCTCTACTCTCCTGATGGATCCTACCGTCAGGGAGGGGATCTCAGCGAGGATGATTCACGACAATCGCCAGTTCAAGGAACCTACCGGAACAAGACTGGAGGCAAGTTTCCTGTATCATCATCTACTGAGGATCTCTTGAGCCCTAGTCATGGTCCAGAGATTTCAGAACCTCAAAAAGAAGCTCCACAAGATAAAAAGTTCCAGAACCAAGATGATGAGGCTCACAGGCAGCATTTGTCTGGGGTCACCACCAATGACAGCCAGGTTAATGGCTCCTGCGAAGAAGAAGATGAGAAACTCTCAGACCATCTAAAATATACTGAGCATGTCGTTACCAAAGCCTCAAAGCATGGTGTTGTGATTACCAACAAAGTTATTGAAGATGCTAATCACGAGCCACTCACCACAACAACCCCACAAACGGGGGAAAGCAATGACCACACAAATGCTTCAAAGTTCAATGAATCTCTCAAGGACCAGATCGAAGAACCTGAGGACGAGTACACTGGAAAAGAACGAGTCGTTTTTAACGCAGACGGAGACGCCTGTTACCAGGGTTGGGGAGAGAGCTGCACTGATCCTGAAGATGACCTCTACGGTGATGACGAGGATATTGTCTATGACCCGGGCTCAGAGCTGACGGAGATCCCCGGTCTACCAGAGGAAAACAAGGATGACATCCCCCCTAAGAGGAAGATTGGCTTTAGCACTGCTCCCATTACTGTAAGCTGTAGAAAAGTGCTGCGGAAGCCGAAATTGTGCAAACACACTCAATCTAACATAAAATCTATTTTGTAGCTTTTAAAAATAGTCTGTTTATGAGCTGCTTTTATCTTTAGTGTTGAGCTCTACGTCCTGGTTAGCTGTGTTGTCTGAACACATACTTTGGGGTCTAGATCTAATCACAGTAATAAGATCCTAATTGTGTTTTATTCTACATTTCCTTGCTTTAATCTGTAAGTGTTGTCGCAGATGAAGCGTTGCTCTCTGGGATTTTGACGTGTCTGCGAACACATCTGTGCATGTGTTAGTCATGCTGGTTCATCGCCCACTCAGTTTTCACACAAGACGCTGCGTTTGTGCGTTCTCAGGCAGTGCCGTGTTTGTTTCATCCGAGCACCATCTGATCAATATAGCTTGCAGGTCACGGTCTTCACAAGCCTTTGCATTTGTAGCGTGCGTTGGAACTGTAGTGCATGCTTCTTGAATTACACAGACAATAGTGGATTTTTCACATAATGGGAATTTGTCTCATAGTGTTTTTATGCTGTAGTCAGTGCTGAGTTGGACACAATGCAGCCGTTTGTTGTTTGTTGGTTGGAGAGATGGATTTGGAAGATTATGGAAAAATATTTTCCAGTCTTTATCCCCAAGCACTCAGCTTACCATTCATAGAAGTAAATCATCTTTCACTGTTTGTTCTCAAAGTTTTTGCATTCTATATGATAGTAAATTCTGATTTCTATGCATGACACTTTCAGATTATCCAGTTTGATTGAGGAATTTAGGTTAATGTATGAAGTCTCCTATCGAATTGAACAGAAACAACTAACAGGCTTTGAATCAAGTCTATTAACACCGTGTATTGAACCAGAACAATTATCCCAGTTATTCTGAGGAGAAAACTTGATGTTGGCTAACTAATTATCTTGCACCGTCTCCGAAAAGTGTGTCATTTTGCTTTTTTGTCTCCCCCGTAGAAGAATCAACACTTGCATGCAAAAGCACAAAATATGCAAATTTGTTTTGACAAAACTTGTCTGAGGCAAGTCATGCATCAATTCACAAGCTGCTTTATCTGATAAAAACAGGCTCCCTGATCTACGTAATTGAAACATTGAATATTTGGAAATATTTGTACAACTGATAAATATAAACACTACAAAGCTTGTTGCCCCATTTAGGCAGAAATATGGTCCTCTGTGAAGGCTTCTGTTTTCGTTGAAAGGGGCCACCGCTCGTTCATCTTATTGAATATTCAAGAGGTTAACTGCCCCCTACACACATGCTCACAACCAATTAGACATGCCCCCCTCCCTCCCCTTTCTGCACACAACGAACAAACAGGGTTCTGTCTTTTGTTCGGCTATACAGTGAAAGACACAAAGTTATTTTCTCAGCAAGAATTGAGCTTGACCCCGATGGGAGGAAACCACAGAAGGTTCTGAAAAGACGGTCTCCTGTAATACGTCACATTTCTTTCATTTCGTTTTAAAACGAATACATGCTAAGTGTTTTTCAAATAGGATTGACTCGCCCAGATAATTACAAAGTAGATTTTCTTCATTAGCAGCAAGTTTTAAAACCTAGATTTTGTCAATGTTGCTTCTTGAAAAGCTCAATCTGTTCATTGTAGAATAAACTATTGCAACACTGATTGGTTGCTTTGCCATAAAACTAGTTTTAACTGTGCAGTTCCTCCTCAGAGAAATCTTCTCCTGAGTCAATGTGTCATTGGGTTCAGATATCTACGTTGGTTTATCATCAGTTTGTGAACATGCGCAGCTTTTTAATCGGTCTCAGCTTGTGACTGAAGCACTAATGTTTATACGTCAGTGAACATGACGGATATTATATCTGCTAAACGTTAGAATATTTACAACATGTAGGTCAAAGTTTGCCTGGCTGTAAACCACAGATTTAACTTCCATTACTGACCCACTAAGAAGTGACCAGACATGACGGTTGTCTGCCTTCCAGTGGACCAACAGAGGAGACTCGGGTCTCGTGTTAATTGAAATGGCACGCTTTATCCTTAACATCCATTCACTTGTTGGGTGCGCGGCCAACAGATTAAAGTTGAAGCATTAAAGCGGATCCACACTTTTGATGTGCTGCTGTCAGCGTCTGCAGCCTTGAGTAGATGGTGTTGTCTCTGAACTAGGTGAAGTGTAAACATCTCTGGTTAATATTGAGCATCTGAACATTTGCTTTGTGGAGTATTATTTATGCACAGGCTGATGCAGAAACTGCTCATACTTGCAGATTTGATCCCACTGCAAACATTCAGTTACCAAGAAAACTCTCGTACTTTTGTATAATGCGTGTTTGCATTTATTCTACTCTCTTCATAGCACATCAGTACAAAGTAGCAAACACTACAATAAACTAACAGACACAATCCCAACTTGCATCCACTTTGAGCGATTCCTCAGACTTGTCAGGCGTTAGGAGATGGTTATTTCACTTGAGGATTTGGGAGCTCATTTATTCAGAACATAGGAGTTAGGCTCCAGTCTCTCAGTAAAAAAACAACTGCTGGCTCTGCCCACGACAGCTTATCCAACATTTTTGTCATATACATGGATCAGCAGTAAACACTGAGATTCTGAAACATCCTTATCTGGAGCATGACCTCAAACAGTTCTGTAAGGCCAGCTCAGATTAGATGGCCTGTTGCCAGCAGTGGTGCCTTCTTACTGTGTTTTCAGATGGAAAGGATTACTTCATTTTAGTCTTTAGACTGTCTTTCTCAGTGAGGAAATATACGATGGGCTCTTTTACACATTTACTTTGATAACTGAATAATGTACTTTGTTTTTTCTGTCATAGAGAAATATTTCAAAGCTTTAAAAAAAAGAAGTTTAAAGTGGGGTTCTATGGAGAAGCTATGAACAGTTAATATCTTATCGGTTGTAGATATGTCTCTGAGCAGCCTCATCTTGGAGAAATTGAGTTTAATAACCAGATTGACATTAGCTAGGTATTTATAGTCTGAATTATATGGCTCTTTACAAGCAGCAGCTAGCTATAGCACTTCCCATGTAGCCTGGAGCACTTCCAGCAGGAACATTATATTTCTAATGGAATAAATGTGTAATGCAAAATTCAATTCAATTCAGTTTATTTATATAGCGCCAAATCACAACAAAGTTGTCTCAGGGCACTTTACAGGAACATTCACATACATAAAATACAATTAGTAAAGTTTATCTAAGGAATTGACGTATGGATTAAGGTTCTCCTTCACTGCAATAAACTTCTGTCATTTTGAACGTGGCCAGGACAGATTTCTGTTATACGTAAAAATGAGTTTGGCAAATTAAAAGAAAATAGTTTTAGGTTAATTTAGACTCTGCAAAGGACTTACTGTGCTATATATATATATATATATATATATATATATATATATATATATATATATATATATACTTTTTTTTTTTTTATATATCTGACAAGCCCTCAGTTGAAAACACTGAAATAACATAAAAGTAAACCATAGAAAAGTTGTTAAAACCCGTCTCTTTCTTCAGAACACCATTAGTCTTGATGCTTCATTAGAGAACACTATACTGTGTACTTTTACTAAAGTCATGCGCACAGTATACTGTGTACTTTTACAAAGGTGTGTACATGGTATAGTGTGTACTTTTATTGATGTCATGTACGTTTATCAATGTCATGTACACAGTATACTCCTGTTTACGTGGAAACCTTTGAGCAGTGACCTGTATGCAGGAAAAAGCTCTCAAATGTGTGGGTGGGGGGTGTGGGTGGTGCTTGGAGAACTTGTAGGTGTAGAAAAAATTCTGTCAAAAGTTTTTTTTCTGCTTTAATCCCTATTGACGGCAGTGTAAACATTTAGAACATAGAATTTTTGTAACTTTTGAGGTAGATGTTATTTTAACATGGTAGCTAGCTGTTAACGAGTCAGTCCGGTCAACTCTTTGTCCAAACCAAGATCATTCAGTGAGATATCTACAACAAGACAAGTGTTAATAACCTTTCCACACAACCCCACTTTTAAAGATCTTGTAATGCTTCCAGTTTGGGTGTTTCTTGAGGCGGGTTAATTCGGATATAATTTTTTGTTCCAGATCTCTGGCAGGTTAGGGTTAAAAGAGCTAACAGTCAACGTCATCAATCAGATGTTCATTCTAAAGCTCTTGTGCGCTTAATAGAAAAAAATGTGTTCATAGACTTGTTCACCGGTGTTTTCTCCTGACGGTCCCCATAAACAATCCACAGTGGAGTAAAATCTTTTTCTGTCCATTGTTTTTGTGTTTTAGTCATGGTGGCAGCAGGGAAGCAAATCCCTTGACCCCAAGAACGTTTCCATCCATCCGTCCATCCATCCATCCATCCATCCATCCATCCCTCATATTTACCCATTGATTCCTTTTTGGGTCGCAGGGGTCACTGGTGTCCAATGCCATGTCCACCAGTCACTATGCAAGAGGTGGAACTCATACTGGAGTTTTTGGATGTATTAGTGTATTACTTTGTGTTTGTGTGTGTGTGTGTGTGTCTTAGCCACTTTAATATTGATGCCGTTGTGTTTTTGTTGTCTTGTTTCGGTGCCACCGGATCCTTCCCAGGGGCATGCATTCTTAATAATTTAGGAAAGAAGAGACATGCCTTGTGGTTTTTGTAGCTGGTCATTTGCCACACAGCAGTCTGTGTCATGAACCATCATCCACCGCTCCCATCTACCCAGCCCGATGCACATGATCTTACCACTGTTGGTTCTTTTTGCACTGATATGATGCCAGGCTGCACCACCACCATGTCCTTGTTCATAATGAGGCAGAAAAAAAGATGGTGTGTTTAATCAACGCTTTAGTATAGATTTAACAGACAGTTTTGTCAAAAGAAACAGTCCAATCAAGTAGAGTTACACCCAAACTGTTGCAACATGTGTTACTTTTCATGCTCTCATCCCAGTTACTGTCAATGACCATTTCCTCTGCCCATTTTGTTGTCCAGTTTCTGTATTTGCTTCT